TCAGGTGATAGAAGAGCATTCTCACAAGTGAGCTTATCAGTCTCCATCTGTGACTGTTTAAGTGGACAAGTACTGTACATAGGTTTATCTTGGATATAATTTTGTGATTTAAGTCACTGGATCAAATTTGGACAAACATGTACCTTCTTTTCTTGTTTTTTTTTTTTTTGTTTTTTTGGTTGTGTGGCTTGAACTCTGGGCCTGGGCACTGTCCCTCAACTCTTCAGCTCAAGGCAAGCACTCTACCACTTGAGCCACATGCATGCGAGGCAAGCACTCTACTGCTGAACTACCTTCCCAGCCCCAACAGGTGTCTTATATCTTTTGGGGTGTTGTTGTAGGTGGTGGTGGTCGTGGGGCCTGAGCTCTGCACCTGGGTGCTGTTTCTCAGCTCTTCAGCTCAAGGAGAGTGCTCTACCACTTGAGCCAAAGCACCACTTCCAGCTTTTTCTGCTTATGTGGTGCAGTCAAACCCAGGGTCTCGTGCATGCAAAGCAAGTACTCTACCACTGAGCCACCTTCCCAGCCCTGTTCTTAAGTCTTGAGAGCTAGTTTTTGGTCTTGTCTATAAAGAAGAACTTGACTTGTAGAGAAGAAAATAACTCCCTATCCACTAGTCAAGTCTGATTTCTGTCCACAATAGGTAGCCTTTGCTCAAACTGGCCCAAAGCCATACTAACCAGCACAAAGGCTACAATTATTATTAGCTACTTTCGTGACTTCCATTTTGAGTTCAAGTTTTAGAACAATAAGGTTTTAAGGATAGGAAGTCTGATTTTTCTATGTCCTGTTCCCATGTTCCAGAAATCTGGCCAGAGTTCATACTTCTATGTTCTTTAAATAATAAGCTATGGAGCCAGGCACCAGTGGCTCAAGCTTATGATCCTAGCTCCTCTGGAGGCTGAGATCTGAGGATTACAGTTGGAAGCCAGCCTGGAAAGGAAAGTACATGAGACTCTTATCTCCAATTAACCACCAAAAAGCTAGAACTGGAGCTGTGGCTCAAGAGATGAAGAACCAGCCTTCGGTGACAAAAACTAAGGCTCTGAGTTTGAGCTCCAATGCCAGCACAAAGACACACACAAAAAAAAAACAAGGTATGAGCCGGGCGCTGGTGGCTCACACCTGTAATCCTAGCTACTCAGGAGGCTGAGATCTGAGGATATTGGTCAAAGCCAGCCCAGGCAGGAAGGACCATGAGACTCCTATCTCCAATAAACCACTAGAAAACCGGAAGTGGTGCTGTGGCTCAAGTGGTAGAGCGCTCACCTTGAGCTGAAGAGCTGAAGGACAGGGCCCAGGCCCAGAGTTCCAGCCCCACGACCAACAACAACAACAAAAAAACAAGGTGTGAAATAGGGGTGTGACTCAGTAAAGAACCTGCCCAGGGGCTGGGAAGGTGGCTCAGTGGTAGAGCGCTTGCCTTCATGCACGAGGCTCTGGGTTCGATTCCTCAGCACCACATAAGAAAAAAGAAAAAAGCCGGAAGTGGTGCTGTGGCTCAAGTGGTAGAGTGCTATCCTTGAGCTGAAGAGCTGAGGGATAGCATCCAGGCCCAGAGTTCAGGCCCCATGACCAGACCCCCCCCAAAAAAACCTGCCTAACAAGTAGGAGACCCTGCGTTCAAACACCAGAACCACAAAAAACAAAAAGAGAAGGTTGGCAAGCTGTGTCTAAACCAGACATATTCTACCAAAGGAATCAGTATCTTAAGAGAAATGACAGCTCACTGGTGGCTAATGCCTGTAATCCTAGCTACTCCAAGAAGCTGAGATCTGAGTTCAAAGCCAGCCTGGACAGGAAAGGCCCCTGAGACTCTTACCTCTGATGAACCACCAGAAAACCAGAAGTGGCACTGTAGCTCAAGTGATAGAGTGCTAGTATTGAGCAAAAACAGCTCACCCACAGCACAGGTCCTAAGTTCAAACCCCATGACTAAAAGAAAAATTTTAAATGACAGCTCATCATGGCAAGGTGCTACCATTCTGGCTTCTCAATAACAAAAGGCCTTTCTTCTTTGGAAAAGGAGTAGAGAAATACTGGCTCAGCACAGTACTGGGCCTGGCACTGTTAGGATGGAGAAATGCTGTGCTCTGTAGAGCACAGAGGTAGACCTAGGGATATTGTAATGCTAGGTGGCATGAACAACTTTCTGCCATGTATGAAAAGGCAGTCAGTAAACCAGGAAAAAAGAGAGCTACAGATTGTGACCACTCTGAAGGATATAAGCAGAGCTGTGATTGGAGAAAAGAAAATAGAAATATAACTGGAAGACTTGAGAGAAGGTCACTTGTCAAGGTTTTTTAAGTGATCCAAGCATTCTTCTGTTGAACTTCTAAACTAGCCGGTGGCTCACGCTTATAATCCTAGCTTCTCAGAAGGCTGAGATCTGAGGATCAAGGTTCAAAGCTAGCTGGGGCAAGAAAGCCTGTGAAACTCTTGTCTCCAATTAGCCACCAGAAAACTATAAGTGGTGTTGTGGCTCAAAGTGGTAGCACTAGCTTTGAGCAGTAGAGCTCAGGAACAGCACCCAGACCCTGAGTTCAAGCCCCATGACCAACAACAACAACAAAAAGATATGAAAGCAACAGACTTCCTGGTGGATTGAATTTGGACACACCTGGAAGGCAAAATCCTGTTTCTTGGCTGGAGCAGCCAGCTGATTAATGTAGATTTATGGAGATGAAATGAGCTGGAAAATATTTTTTTTTCTTTTGCTGGTCCTGGGGCTTGAACTCAGGGCCTAGGTGCTGTCCCTGAGCTGTTTTTGTTCAAGGCTAGTGCTCTTTGAACCACAGTGCCACTTCTGGCTTTTTCTTTTTTCTTTCTTTTTTTTTTTTTTTTTTTTTTTTGTCGGTCGTGGGGCTTGAACTCTGGGCCTGGGCGCTGTCCCTCAGCTCTTCAGCTCAAGGCGAGTGCTCTACCACTTGAGCTACAGCGCCACTTCCGGTTTTCTGGTGGTTTATTGGAGATAGGAGTCTCACAGTCTCTCCTGCCCGGGCTGGCTTTGAACCACGATCCTCAGATCTCAGCCTCCTGAGTAGCTAGGATTACAGGCGTGAGCCACCAGCGCCCGGCTCTTTCTTTCTTTTTTTTTGGACAGTTACAGGACTTGAACTCTGGGCCTGGGTGCTGTCCCTGCACTCTTTAGATCAAAACCAGTGCTCTACCATTTGAGCTCCAGAGCCACTTCCAGTTTTCTGGTGGTTAATGGAGATAAGAGTCTCACAGACGTTCCTGCTTGGGCTGGCTTTGAACTACAATCCTCAAATCTCAGCCTCCTGTGTAGCTAGGATTATAGGCGTGAACCACCAGCACCTGGCTGGGTTTTTTTCTGTTGATGTGGTGCTGAAGAATCAAACCCAGGGCCTCATGCGTGTGAGACAAGCACTCTATCACTAAGCCACATTTCCAGTCCTGAGCTGGAGAATATTATTTGCTAATAGTTTCCATCTTGGATTTGTCAAGTTTTGGATGCCTTTGAGACATCTAAGTGAAGACACCAAGTAGGAAGATAGAAGTGTCCCATGACCCTTGGAGTCAGGACACATGGGTTTGAATCCAGACTTTCCTACTAGTTGTGCAATCTTTGACAAATTACTTAACCTCTTTGTACCTCAACTTTGTCTCTGACAAATGGAGATAAGATAGTCAGTACTGGAGAAGTAGGACTTTTCTGACAAATGGTAAGATACATAGTAAGCACTCAGAAAAAGGTTAGCGAGGGCTGGGAGAGTGGTTCAGTGGTAGAGTGCTTGCCTTGCATCTATGAAGCCCTGGGTTTGATTCCTCAGCACCACATGAGTAGAAAAAGCTGGAAGTGCGCTGTGGCTCAAGTGGTAGAGTGCTTTCCTTGAGCTGAAGAGCTGAGGGACAGCGCCCAGGCCCAGAGCTCAGGCCCCACAATGAAGGAAGAAAGGAAGGGAGAGAGGGAGGAAGGAAGGAAGGAAGGAAGAAAGGAAGGAAGGAAGTTAGCAAACACTTGAGTGCCTGCCTAGCAAGTGCAAAGCCTTGAGTTCAAACCCCAATACTGACACAAAAATGTATACTATTAGCCAGGTGCTGGTGACTCATGCCTTAGCTACTCAGGAGACTGAGATCTGAGGATCATGGTTCAAAGCCAGCCTACGCAGGGACATCTGTGAGACTCTTGTCTCCAATTAACCACTCAGAAAATTGCAAGTGGCGCTGTGGCTCAAGTGGTAGAGCGCTTGCCTTGAGCTGAAGAGCTGAGGGACAGCACCCAGGCCCAGAGTTCAAGCCCCATGACCGACAAAAGAAAAAAAAAATTGCTGGACAGCCAGAGAGCTAGTGGCTCATACCTGTAAGCTAAGCTACTTAGGAGGTTGAAATTTGAAGATCATGGTTCAAAGCCAGCCTGAGCAGTAAAGTGTGTAAGACTCGTATCTAATTAACAAATAAACAATAAAATAAATTAATAAATGAAAATGGGACTTGGAGTTGTGGCTCAAGTGGTAGAGCACCAGCCTTAAGCAAAAATGCTCAGGCCTTGAGTTTAAGCCCTAGGACCAACACACACACACACACACACACACACACACACACACACACACACACACACACACAATATTGTTGGGCAAGAAAAATAATCATCTATTTATTTACATGCCAATTTATTGAGTTAAGAGGTCAAGCATACAGGTATATTGTCGTTTGCAGCTGACATAATATCATGACCTTGAAAGCCATCCATTGGTGGTTATAAGTAGGCCATGTGAAAAGTGTGGCCTGGGAAAAGTGGGGGTCAGGGGAGCTGAGGTTTAGCAGTGTTTAAAGGAAAAGGAGAGGAAGGAGAGCACCCCAAGGAAAAGCCAGCCGCTTGCCAAGGGCTGGGAGGGAGGGCGGGACAGAGTCAGGAGCTCGGGAAAGGAAACTAGGAGGGAGAAGTTCCAACAGGGAGTGTCCAGGACTTCCCCCCCCCCACTCCCGCCCCCCAGCCCCACCTTGCCGCCCCACCTCACTTATAGATGAGCGCAGGCACGGGTGTCCACCCGTGTCCCCAGCCATGCCCACCGACCTCAGTGGCACCTGGAACCTGCTCAGCAGCGACAACTTTGAGGGCTACATGCTGGCCCTAGGTAGGACAGGAGGGGTCTGGGCCACCAGAGGGAACTTGGAGAGGGCTCCAGGCCCTGGCTGCAGGTCTTGGGTGCGGAAAGGCAGCCTGGCTTGTTTGTCCCCTGTCCTTCTGTCCAGCCCCCACTTCCCATTCTCATCGGTCAGTCCATAACCCCTCCCTCCTCCCTCCACCTGTCCATTCCTTTGTCCTGCTAGCTGTCTATCCTGCCTTTCCCTGCCCTCTTCAGCCCCCAAGCCCCCCCCACCTCTGTCCCCCTTGTCCATCCCCAGTCTGTCTCTCCCTGCCAAAGCTGGCCCCAGGGCTCACTCTAAGCCAGCAGGGACAGGGTAGGCCACCTGGGGAGGGGGGCACTGGGGGTTGGGGGGTGGTGGAGGACAGAGATCCAGCAGGAAAAACGGAGCCAGGGTCATGGTCGCCCCAAACCGGCTTGTTCTGGGCAGTGACTGTCCCAGAAAGGTCAGGACTCACCGCAGGAGTCCGTGGGGTCAGAAATCTCAAGATACCCCTGGCTTCCCTCGCCCAGGGAGGGGGGGGGGGGCTGGGCCTTTCCCCGCCCCCCTCAGACCGCCCCAAGCCACACCGCCCCCCTCCCCTGCAGGCTGCTGTGATGGGGACCAGGGTCAGGCAGATTAGCTTTGTATGCAGCGTGGGAGTGGGGCTGGGCCGCTGCCTCGGGATGGTGGGGGACCATGGTGGGGGCCGCAGGAGGCCCTGATCAGTGCCTTCATTTCCCAGAGGGCGAGGGAATGTGTTTCCTGCCATCCAGGCAGGCGCTGCCCTTGCCTGTGCTGTGTTGGTTTCCCTTTGAACCTCGTTCTGCTCTGGATTTTAACACCTATTTTGTGGCAAGCACTTTGCCTGGGTAGCACTCACTGTTCCTAGGGGTCTTTGACAAGTGACTGGAGGGGTTGGACCTAGGCTCCTGATCTAGTGATACTGGCCTCAGCTTTCCAACTGGAAATTGAGAGTGAGGGTGTCTGGCATGTTTCTTTAAAAAAAAATAAATAAATAAATAGGGGAGCTGAGAAGGTGGCTCAGTGGTAGAGTGCTTGCCTTGGGTGCATGAGGCCCAGGGTTCGATGCCTCAGCACCACATAAACAGAAAAGGCCAGGAATGGTGCTGTAGCTCAAATGGTAGAGTGAGAGCCTTGCGCTGAAGAGCTGAGGGACAGAGCCCAGGCCCAGAGTTCAGGCCCCACCACGGATTAAAAACAAAAAAAAAAGGTAGGGGAGGAGGCTGACGGGGATCTGTGGTAGAGGTTGGTGAGAACTGGAGGTCAGCCTCAGCACAAGAGAAAAAAAAAAACGCAAAAGAGGATATTTCATGTTTGCTCCTTAATCATTGGAAATGCACAGTTCTGCAGCTGCAGAGTTGTTTCTAAGGACTCTGAGCCTGTGAAGGCTTCTGTCCCCTAATTCTCTCCCTAATTCCCAAGTAGGGAAAATTTCACCTTCTCTAGTTAAGTCAGACCCTTTTGTCCCATCAACAACATGGCCTAGCTTCTCTGTATATTCTGTTGTGACCCCTGTTTGATACTTTCTCTGGCCTCAAAATTCGAATTCCCTTGTCTCATCTCAGCATCTTGCATGAGGAATTATAGGTGTGAGCATTGTGCATGGTGAAGCCATGCAAGATTGAGCCATTGTCTTCTCTCTCACTGCTTGCTCTTACATGTGGTTCTGGTTCCAGAAGATACTAAATCTAAATAACTATTTATTTTATTCTATTTCATATATTCATTAAGGAAAACAAGGCCTATTGTAAAGTAGACTAAAAATAGCTGGGTGAAGCCAGGCACTGGTGGCTCATGACTGTAATCCTAGCTACTCAGGAGGGTGAGATCTAAGGATCACAGTTTGAATTAACTTGGGAAGGAAAGTCCATGAGACTTTTTTGTTGTTGGTGGTGGTTGTGAGGCTTGAACTCTGGGCTTGGGCGCTGTCCGTGCACTCTTCAGCTCAAGGCAAGTGCTCTACTGCTTGAGCCACAGCACCACCTCAGGTTTTCTAGTGGTTTATTGGAGATAAGAGTCTAACAGAACTTCCTGCCCGGGCTGGCTTTGAACCATGATCCTCAGATCTCAGCCTCCTGAGTAGCTAGGATTATAGGCGTGAGCCACCAGCGCTCGGCTCCAGGAGACTTTTATCTTCAATTAACTACCAGAAAACCAGAATTGGAGCTGTAGCTCAAAGTGATAGAGTATTAGCTTTGCGCATAAAAGCTCAGGAACAGTGCCTAAGCCTTAAGTCCAAGCCCCACAACTGACAAAAAAAAAAAAAAAAAATGCTGGGTATTAGTGGTTCACATCTATAATCCTAGCTACTTGGGAAGATAAGATCTGAGGATCCTGGTTTGAAGCCAGCTCAGGCAGAAAACTCCGTAAGTCTGAAAATGCTGGAAGTAGAGGTTTAGCTCAAGAAGTAGAGTCCCAGCCGGGCGCTGGTGGCTCACGCCTGTAATCCTAGCTACTCAGGAGGCTGAGATCTGAGGATCGCGGTTCAAAGCCAGCCCGGGCAGGAGAGACTGTGAGACTCCTATCTCCAATAAACCACCAGAAAACCGGAAGTGGCGCTGTAGCTCAAGTGGTAGAGCACTCGCCTTGAGCTGAAGAGCTGAGGGACAGCGCCCAGGCCCAGAGTTCAAGCCCCACGACCGACAAAAAAAAAAAAAAGAAGTAGAGTGCCAGCCTTGAGTGAAAAAGCACTCAGGCTCTGAGTTCAAACCTCAGTACACACACACACACACACACACACACACACACACACAGAGCTACCAAATAGGTTAGTGTTAGTGGTATAGCTCAGGGTGGACTGGGATTTCAACCTTCTGATGTTCTCAGCATTGCATGGTTTCTATGAATAACTTTAAAAAAGCTTATTAAAGACTTGTAAATATACTGTAGTATATTCATGAATGTAAGATTGAGCCTTCCTTCCTTCCATCCTGCTCTTTCCCTCCTTCCCTCCTTTTTTTTTCTTTCTACCCTTCTTTTCTCTGCTAGGGCTGGAATCCAGGACCCTGCATATGCTAGGTGTTCTGTCACTAGCTACATCCCCAGCCCTCAATGCTTTCTTTTTCTTTTTTTTTTTTTGGGGGGGACTGGTCGTGAGGCCTGAACTCTGGGCCTGGGCACTGTCCCTCAGCTCTTCAGCTCAAGACTAGCACTCTACCACTTGAGCCACAGCACCACTTCTGGCTTTTTTCTTTTTGCTTATGTGGTGCTGAGGAATCGAACCCAGGGCCTCATGTATGCAAGGCAAGCGCTCTACCACTGAGCCACCTTCCCAGCCCCCCTCAATGCTTTCTTAACTCAAAATAGAAATATATGGAGAGAAAAGGGCAACGTTAGGCTTGCGGCTGGTTAGGGAGCTCAGCCCTGTCTCCTTGCCTTCCTTATCTCCTTGTCCGTCTGTGGAGGTTTCCAGAACTGCTTCACCATGGCCAGCTTCAAACCCATTGCCTAAGGCACAGCCAGACCAATGACTGTTATGAAAGCCACCAGACTTTTTCCTCAGTCTCTGGCTGGACATCTGCTGGACATGGTGCCAATGAAGCTGCAAAAGAAACACTAGCGATCACATGTGAAACTCTGAACAGCTCTCGAATTCTCAGCTTTCACATGTCAAGTGATGAGATATTTAACAATTATTCCAGGCATTGACTTTGCTACTCGTAAGATAGCCAAACTGCTGAAGCCACAGAAGGTGATTGAACAAAATGGGGATTCCTTCACCATTCACACATACAGCAGCCTCAGGAACTACCTTGTCCAATTCAAAGTTGGAGAGGAATTTGAGGAAGACAACAAAGGCCTGGACAACAGAAAATGCAAGGTAAGGTAAGCTCATGGCGCCAGAGCACCCTTGACTCACACATGAAATCCTAGCTACTCAGGAGGCTGACATCTGAGGATCTTGGTTCGAAGCCAGACTGGGCAGCAAAGTCCATAAGATTCTTACATACAATTAACCACCAGAAAACTGAATGTGGCTCTGTGGCTCAAAGTGATAGAGCACTATCCTTGAGCATAAAAGCTCAGGGACAGCACCCAGGCACTGAGTTCAAGCCCCATGACAGAAAAAAAAGAACAAAAAGAAAGAAATGAAATGAAATGAAACGAGGCCCTGGGTTCAATCCGAGCACTACATAAAAGCAAAAATAAATATTAAAATAATAACCATAGGCTCCTAATTTTGAGTGGTTAACTTGACATGTATTCTAGTGGGTAATACATTTATTTATTTATTTATTTATTTATTTATTTATTTATTTGCCGGTCATGGGGCTTGAACACAGGGCCTGGGCGCTGTCCCCGAGCTGCTTTTTTTTTGCTCAAAGCTAGTGCTCTTACCACTTGAGCCACAGCGCCACTTCCAGCTTTTTTTTTTTTTTCTGTTTATGTGGTGCTGAGGAATCGAACCCAGGGCCTTATGCATGCAAGGTAAGCACTCTACCACTGAGCTACCTTCCCAGCTCCGGGTAATATTTTTTGTGTATACTGGTTGGTATTGGGACTTGACCTTGGGGCCAGGGAAATATACCTTAGCTTTTTTACCCAAGGCTTGTGCACCAATACCTGATCTACACCTTCACTTTTGGCTTTTTGGTAGTTCATTGGAGGTAAGAGTCTCCCAGACTTTTCTGCCCATGCTAGCTTTGAATCTCGATTCTCAGATCTGAGCCTTCGGAGTAGCTAGGATAACAGACATGAGCTACCAGTGCCTGGCTTCTAGTGGATAATCACTGAGGATCTTGTCAAAGAAAGCCAACCATTTCTTTCCTCTTTAATACAGAGCTTGGTTACCTGGGACAATGAAAAGCTCACCTGCGTGCAGAAGGGGGAGAAGAAGAACCGAGGCTGGCGCCACTGGATTGAAGGGGATAGACTCCACCTGGTACCTGCCACATTATGCTTTTATTTTGGGAGTGACAACATAATATTAAGAAAAAAAAGCTTAGTGCGTGTGGCTCACGCTTGTAATACTAGCTACTCAGGAAGCTGAGATCTGAGGATTGTGGTTCAAAGCTAGCCTGGGCAGAGAAGTCTGTGAGACTCTCCAATTAACCAACAGAAAACCAGAAGTGGTGCTGTGGCTCAAAGTGGTAGAGTGCTAGCCTTTGAGTGAAAAAGCTCAGGGACAGTGCCCAGGCTGAGTTCAGGCCCCGAAACCAAGCAAGAAAGCAAGCAAGAAAGAAAGGAGGGGAAGGGAGGGGAAGGGAGGGGAAGGGAAGGGAAGGGAAGGGGAGAGAAGGGAAGGGAAGGGGTCAGGTGCCGGTGATTCATACCTGTAATCCTAGCTACTCAGGAGGCTAAAATCTGATGACTGAGGTTCAAAGCCAGCCCAAGAAGAAAAATGGGAGACTCTCATCTCCAATTAACCACCAGAAAGCCAGAAGTTGAATGGTGGCTCAAGTGGTAGAGCGCTAGCCTTGAGCTGAAAAGCTGAGGGACAAAGCCCAGGCCCAGAGTTCAGACCCCACGATTGACAAATAAATAAATAAATTTTAAAAAAGAGTCAAAATAGACCATAAACCAACTTATCCTTCTTGCCTTCTTCCTGTCCCAGGAGATGTTTTGTGAAGGCCAAGTATGCAAACAGACGTTCCAGAGAGCCTGAGCGCAGCACATTTGTGGGCACAGCTTAATGTCAAATTATATTGCAAAATATACCTGAGTTTGTCTCGGTTTGGTGACGGGGCTTGCAGTTGGAGAGAGGTTACACAGCTTGAACTAGAAGCCATTTAACATTGGAAGAAAATTTTTCCTTCAATAAACCTATCCAGGTGACTCTGATCTTTTTCTTTCTAAATTTCTCATGGTGCCTTATCTTATTAAGTATTTAGAAACACAAAATATACAGTGAACAAGGTGGGATTTCTACCTGCCAGGCTAGCGAGGAAGGTGGGGAAAGGAGCAATGTAAGCAGTAGTAATGACAGCCAGCTCTGGAAAGGCAGACCGCTTTTGGGGTGAGTATGGTGTCATTGCAGTGTCACAGAGGTCCCTAAGCTAAGACTGAAGCCTGAGTGAAGAGATGCAATCAGAAAATGTCTTGAGGCTAGGGGTGGTGGTATACACCTGTAATCCTAGCTACTTAGGAGGCTGAGATCTGAGGGTCACAGTTCAAAGCCCTTCAGGGCAGGAAAGTCTGAGAGACTCTTATCTCCAATTAATTACCAAAAAAAAGTTGTAAAGAGAGGTGTGTGGCTTAAGTGATAGAGCACTAGCCTTGAGCACAAAGAGGCTTAGATATAGTACCCAGGCCCTGAGTTCAAGCCTCAGGACTGGCAAAAAAGAAAACATCTTGAGCTGGGTGGAGCTGAGTGGAGCTGGGTGGATGCAGTGGCTCATTCCTATCATTTTAGCTACTGAGGAGGCTGAGATTTAAGGATGGAGATTTGAAGCCAGCTGAGGCAGAATAATTCAAGGGACTCTTATCTCTAACCAACAAAAAGCTAGAAGTGGTTCACATGTTAGAATACCAGCCTTGCACATAAAAGCTAAAGGACAGCACTTGAGTTCAAGTCCTACTATCAGTACCTCTCCCCCCCTCCCGCCCCTTTTTTTTTTTTTTGGTCCGGTCATGGGGCAGCCTGAACTCTGGGCCTGGGCGCTGTCCCTCAGCTCTTCAGCTCAAGGCTAGCATTTTACCACTTGAGCTTTTTTCTTTTTTCTTATGTGGTGCTGAGGAATCCAACCCAGGGCCTCATGCATGCAAGGCAAGCACTCTACCACTGAGCCACCTTCCCAGCCCTCCCCCATTTTTTTTTTCCCCCATTTTTTTTAAAGGTTGGTCCCAAGCCTTCATCCTGGGTTTGAAGATGCTTGACATCTTTTTTGTCTCCTATGCTGAGGATCAAACTCACCATTCCACTTACAGTGGAAAGAACAGAGTAAAAGGGCTCAAGTGCCTGAGGCCTATTTATCCCTGCAATAGCAAATACTCTGTGTGTGTGTGTGTGTGTGTGTGTGTGTGTGTGTGTGTGTGTGTGTGTGTGTGTGTGTGTGTGTGTGTGTGTTTACTGGTCTGGGACTTGAATCCAGGGCCTGGGTGCTATCCTTTAGCTTTGCTCAAGCTACAGTTTTACTTCTGGCTTTTTTGGTGATTACTTGGAGATAAGAGTCTCAAGTGTTAGGAAAATGGAGAAGAAAGAACAGGCCAGTTTCGATCTCAACAGGTGGGAACTGGTTATTACAGCAATGAAGGGCAAGCAACCTCCCCACAGGAATGGAGGTTGTGCAAGGAGGCGGGGTTGGAGTTAGACTTTATGGGGTCTGAGCACAGAGATAGAAGTTTTCAGGGCAGGGGGAGGTAACTAACAGGTATGGGCAGAAAACAGAGTACCAATCTATCTTGTGGTTACAATCATTAACATGAGGCATAGTTGGTATACAGAGTGATAATTGACTCCCTTATCATTAGGGAGCAGAGGGGAGTGATTTTTATTTCCAAGGTCTCAAGTTTTTAGTGTCCAAACAGCTTTAACTTACACACACTTAGGATAGTAACTTATTCATCGGTCTTGCCGTGACTGACCTTTTCAGGGACCCTTTCCTAATCTCACAGCTCTGCCTCAGAGTTCCCTACAGGTTAGGCCCACAATGGAATGTGGTTGGATTGGCCTGTCTAGGTCAAGCATGTCTGTCCATTCCTGGGGTTTTGCCTGGTGACTGTATATGCCTGGCATAATAGGTTAGGGGTCAATACTTCATCAAGGACTTTCTGCCTGGGCTGTCTTTGAACCCTGATCTTCCATCTCTGCCTTCTGAGTAGCTAAGATGCTAGGCATGAGCCACCTACGCCTAGCTTAGCCAAATACTTTAAAGCACAGGAGAAGGAACTTTGGAGGTGTCTATGCAACCCTTTTCTTCCCTTCCTCACCTTCCTTTCTCCTTTTTTTCTTTGCTCCAAGGAAAAGGCTGGCTTTCCTGGGTCTCAGTCTCTATAGGAGAATGTGTGTGTGTGTGTGTGTGTGTGTGTATGAGTGAGCGTGTGTGTGTATGTATGTAGAAACCTGTAACTACAGGCAATGGTTTTTGTTTTTGTTTTTGTTTTTTTTTGGTGGTGGTTTCTTTTTTTCTTGAAAAATATCTTTTTTTTTTATTATTTGTTCGGTCATGGGGCTTGAACTCTGGTCCTGGGCACTGTCCCTCAGCTCTTCAGCTCAAGGCTAGAGCTCTATCACTTGAACCACAGTGCCACTTCTGGTTTTCTGAGTGGTTTATTGGAGTCTCAGGGACTTTCCTACCTCGGCTGGCTTTGAACCGCGATCTTCATATCTCAGCCTCCCGAGTAGCTAGGATGACAGGCGAGAGCCACCAGCGCCAGCTATTTTCTGTCTGGTGTAGCTTATTAGACTTGTGATCCTCTCATTCTCAGCCTCTATGTAGTCAGGATTAACAGGGGTGAGTCACCTGCTTCCAAGTCCCTTCTTTTTGTTTCTTTAGTGTACTTGATCTCTCAACTTTTTCAACTTTGAATGGTGATCCTCAGAACTCAGTCTCCTGAGCCAACAATGTCCAGCTTATGGGGTTTTTTGTTTGTTTGTTTTGTCGGTCTTGGAGCCTGAACTCTGGGCCTAGCTCTTCAGCTCAAGGCGAGCACTCTACCACTTGAGCCGCAGCGCCACTTCCAGCTCTTTCTGTTTATGTGGTGTTGAGGAATAGAACCCAGGGCCTCATGCATTCGAGGCAAGCACTCTACCACTGAGCCACCTCCCCAGCCCTACCTTATGTGTTTTTTTTTTTTGTTTTTTGTTTTTGGTCCGGTCGTGGGGCCTGAACTCTGGGCCTGGGCGCTGTCCCTCAGCTCTTCAGCTCAAGGCTAGCGCTCTACCACTTGAGCCACAGCAACACTTCGGCTCTTTTCTTTTTGCTTATGTGGTGCTGAGGAATCGAACCCAGGGCCTCATGCATGCAAGGCAAGCGCTCTACCACTGAGCCACCTTCCCAGCCCCGACCTTATGTGTTTTACATGTATTAATTTACTGGATTTGAGCAGCCTATGAAAGTTACTTCTTTTTTTTCTTTTCTGTCAGTTGTGGGGCTTGAACTCAGGCCTGGGTGCTGTCCCTGAGCTCTTTTGCTCAAGGTATCTCCTGAACTGTGCTGTCTAGGCTGGCTTTGAACTGCAATCCTCCTAGGATTGCAGGCGTGACCCAGCACCCACTGAAACAGCTACTATCTTTATCCCTGTTTTATGTTAGAGTCACAAAGACGTACAGTGAGAAACAGAGAAGCCACATTTTGAGAGGCCCGATTGGAAGTCTTTATTGACAAGCCGGTGACTGCAGGTGGACTCCTGTCTGAAAGACCCACAGCCCCCACAAAGCTTTAAAAGACAAAGCACACATTTGGGGTGGAGATCCAAATCTGACAGAAACAGATCAGGTAGGGAAGTGCTCAGGCCCCAGCAGAACTTTCCACCTAGGGCAGTAGCTCAGGGATTAGCTTAAACTTTCCATATTGGGGTATGTGTGCCTCAAAAACACTTAGGGAGGTAATCATGGACCAGCATTCTCTGTAGCCAAAGCTCTCCTAAGGCTAAACAGCATGATCTCTGTAATTCAATGAATGACCTCTCTCACCTCCAGGCTTTTCTGAGCTGGGTGGAAAGCCCCCTCCACCCAGCAAGGTACCAAGATGGCTGCGAGAACAAGGCGATGTTACTTAGACCCGGTCTCCTTGTTTCAAGATATTAACTTACCTAAGGTCATGGAGTTAGTATAATAAAGGAAACAGAAGTTTTGACCAGGAAATCTGTGCTATACTTTGCTGCATGACATGGTTGATACATTCAATTAAATAATTTTATTGTGATGATTCATGTTGCTCACTCTACATTGCCATGTTCTTCTTATAGATGGCCCTCCCCTTCATTATTTTGACCATTAGAACATCAAGGAAGAAAATGCTCAGTGATGTGTGTACAGCTCAGAGACAGCACTCACTCAGCATTCACTCAGTCCAGGGAGGACTGATCCCCAGCACTGCAAAACAAAAATGAACAAAAAATTAAGAATTGTCAACTGGCAAGGCACCGGTGGCTCCTAGCTACTCAGGAGTCTTGAGATCTAAGGATTGCAGTTCAAAGCCAGCTCAGACAGGAAAGTCCATGAGACTCACCTCCAATTAATCACCAGAATACCAGAAGTAGTGCTGTGGTTCAAAGTGGTAGAGTGCCAGCCTTGAGCAAAAAAAGCTCAGTGGAGGGCTGGGAAGGTGGCTCAGTGGTAGAGTGCTTGCCTTGCATGCATGAGGCCCTAAGTTCGATTCCTCAGCACCACATACAAAAAAAAGCTGGAAGTGGGTGCTATGGCTCAAGTGGTAGAGTGCTAGCCTTGAGCTGAAGAGCTGAGGGACAGCACCCAGGCCCAGAGTTCAAGCTCCTTGACAAGCAAAAAAAGAAAAAAAGAAAAAAAAAATAGCTCAGTGTCAGTGTCCAGGCCTATGAGTGACAAAAAAAAATTGCCAAGTATAACATTACAAGAAACCTTTTATTTTTCTTCAGGATGAGATGTAGACTTACCAGTTTGAGACCTCTTGCTTCGTATTGAGGATGACTGATGTGAGAGTGTAATGTTGGCAGCCCCCAGGCTCCTCCCTTCTCTTCCTTTTTTGTCCCAGCCTTATGATTGAGGTGGGATTGGCCACACAGGGGGCTAGACTGGCTTATTGTAGTATTTCCTACATCCATAACTGATTGGCTTCAGGACAAGTACTATGAGCACCTTTAGCCCAATCAGAGTTCAGGATTTTTTTATTTTTTGGTCGGTCGTGGGGCCTGAACTCTTGGCCTGGGCACTGTCCCTAAGCTCCTCAGCTCAAGGCACTTGAGCCACAGTGCCACTTCTGGTTTTCTGGTGGTTTATTGGAGATAAGAGTCTCATGGACTTTCCTGCATAGGTTGGCTTTGAACTGTGATCCCCATATCTCAGCCTCCTGAGTAGCTAGGCTTACAGGTGTGAGCCACCAGTGCCTAGCAGGATTTTTTGTTTTTTGAAGGGACGGGAGGGCTGGTGTCCAAAAAGCACTCACTACTGCCCAGGACCTCATAAATAAGCATGTGCCCTATCACTGAGCTATACCTCCAGCTACAAGAATGAGAGAGTTTTTTTTTTTTTTTTTTGTCGGTCGTGGGGCCTGAACTCTGGGCCTGGGCGCTGTCCCTCAGCTCTTCAGCTCAAGGCGAGCGCTCTACCACTTGAGCTACAGCGCCACTTCCGGTTTTCTGGTGGTTTATTGGAGATAGGAGTCTCACGGTCTCTCCTGCCCGGGCTGGCTTTGAACCGCGATCCTCAGATCTCAGCCTCCTGAGTAGCTAGGATTACAGGCGTGAGCCACCAGCGCCCGGCTGTGAGAGAGTTTTTACTTGTTGATGTTAGGAAGAAGTTTATTTTCTCTACTATTTCTTCAAATACACTTCTTTAATACCTAAGCCAGTTTGATTTGGGCTCCCTATTATTGCACCATAAATCTAACTTATGGAAATGCTTTCTAATAGTTGTGAAGGTTACCCTTCTTGTCCAAATTGTAGAATAAAAAGATGAAGGTTGGAAATGATAATTTACTTGAAACCTATCTGATTCTAGAACTCATGTTACTGACCATTGTCCCTCTATCCTAGCTATCCATCCTGTCCCAGTGTTATCTCCCAGCATATTGAATAGTGTTGAATATCATCATTAGATACTATTCTGAATTTTCTAGTATTGCTATATATAAAAATGATGGACAATAACAACTGTTGATAAAAATGTGGAGAACTTGGAAGCCACATACATTGCTGGTGGGAATGTAAAACTGAACAGCTGCATGCAACCTAGTAATATCCCTCCTAGCTATATGCCCAAGAGAAATGAAACTATGTCACCACAAAAACTTGTACTGAGAATGTGGCTTAGTGGTAGAGTGCTTGCCTAGCATTCCTGAAGCCCTGGATTTGATTCCTCAGTACCACATAAACAGAAAAAGCCAGTAGTGGTGTTGTGGCTCAAGTGGTAGAGTGCTAGCCTTGAGCAAAAGAAGCTTAGGGATAGTATCCAGACCCTGAGCACAAGCCCCAGGACTCGGGGGACTCGGAGGGGGGGGGGGGGGAGGTGGGAGGGGCAGGAGAAGAAGAAAGAAACAACTTGTACATGGAAGCGTATTGCAACATTATTCAGAAGAGCCAAAAGGTAGGAATGACCCACTCATCTGCCAACTATGAATTGATAAAATATTATATCTATGAGATGGATATTGTTTGGAATTAAAGAAGTGAAATACTAATACAACTGACAATATGAACCTTGAAAACATGCTAAGTGAAAGAAATCTGACACAAGCAGACACATAGTATATGATTTCTCTGATGAGAAATGTCTCAAACTTGCAAACCTAAAAACAGAAGGCAGATTAGTAATGGGAGGTGAAGAGAGATGAAGGTCTGAAGGTTTATGGGTAGGGGGGAGGATTTTTTTGAGGATAATGAAGTTTTGGAATTAGCAATGATGGTTGAAGAATTCTTTGGCTATCTGAAAATCACTATGTGAGGAAAAGCAATCTTCTCTGTCCAACTAAAATATCTACGTCTTGTAATCAATTGTCATTCTGTACTGATATGTCCTGGTACTGATATTGCCTGAAATTATGTTAAGTGGAACTATCGTGTGTGTATGTTGTTTGTAACCAGATAGCCATATCAAGGCTATGATTCATGCTGGGAAGGTGGTTCAGTGGTAGAGTACTTGCCTGGAATGCATGAGGCCCTGGGTTCGCTTCCTCAGCACCACATAAGCAGAAAAAGCCAGAAGTGGCACTGTGGCTCAAGTGGTAGAGTGCTAGCCTTGAGCTGAAGAGCTGAGGGGACAGCACCCAGGCCCAGAGTTCAGGCCCCATGACAGGAAAAAAAAAAAAGGCTATGACTCTACCAATGGAGTTAAATAATAAGCCCCGCCCCTTCACCCATTGAGTAGGAACTTTCCACTGACCTTCCCAACCTCCTTCAACTGGATCTGCCAGCAGCCCTGTTCCCAACCAGCCATGAGAGGAATATGCCCCTTTGCCTCCAAAATGACAGCCTCCTCCCACTAGGGATCTTTCACTAATGGTTAGAGTCCTTTCTAATTTCCTTGTATTTTTAGTGAATATCAATCAATCAATCAATCAATCAAATTGTGAATTTGACATTTTAGCAACAAGAAAGGACTTCACCCTTTGGCTTAGGATAAAAACTAAGCAGACCACCCTGCCCAGTGTGCCTGCCTAGCTCTGGGGAAAGTAATGGCAGTCTACCCATCTATACAGAAGTAAACTGCTTTGACAAAATCTGTTTATTTATTTTCTGACCCCAGAGGGTTGTGTGTTTCCAACAACTGTACACTTGAAACGGAAGACTTGCATGGCATGAGATTTTATGGCAATAATGATGTTTAAAAAGAAATGAAGGTCTTAACATTAATGACATCAGGAGTCCACATTCTGGCTTGCACAGAATTCCTTTCCTGGAAAGCAGATAACATGCAAAGCCAGCAGTGGTGTAATTTTACTCACAAATTCCAAGCATATCTACTAGTCAGGTTCCTATTTTAAGCATGTAGCAAATAAATTTTAACTCCTTTAGTGCTGGAATGAAAATGTTAAGATCATGCTTTGGTTGCTGACTGGTGGCACATGCCTGTAATCTTCTCACCCAGGAGGCTGAGAGGATAGGAAGTGGCAAAACCATTACAGCCTACAACAGTGAGTTCAAGGCCAGCCTGGGCTATAGAGCAAGGCTGTCTCAAAAACAAGATTATGGCTCAGCAAACCATGCCATTCTCTATGGCAGAACCTGTAATTTCATGGTAAAGTTACTTGGCTCAATTTAGCTTTGTGTGTTCTAAAATATTTACATTCACGTCTGTTGAAGGTTGATTTTTTTCAAATGCTGTTCATATTCGGCAGCTATTTGTGTCTCTCGTTCAGTTTTACCTTCAAATTTCATCCATATTCATTTTTTAAAGTCTAAGTAAAACGTATGAAAGTTCCTGTGTTAATTTTCTGACGTGGTCTTTCCTGGGGGCGAGGGGTGCAGAGGATCATAGCAGTTGTGCAGCATAAGAGCAATCAGCAGAGTGCAGAAAAAGCGACACTGCTGTTTTCTGTTGCTTGGTTTCAGCGGCGGGGGGTTTCAGGGCTCCGCGTCATTAGACCGCAGACACCGTCTGGGAACAACGGAGGCGCCGCGGGAATCCAGGGTGCGAGAGCGCGCCCCCTGCAGGCGCATCTTACGGGATGGCGCGATCCTTCCAAGGGCTACCCTACTTGCGCCCAGGGCCCCGCCCACTGCCCTGGCGCGGTTGCCAGGACAACGCCCCGGCAACGCCCCACTCCGCCCCCCGCCCGTGGCGGTCCCTTTCGCCCCACCCCCTCCGCACGACGCTGCTGCGTGGGAGGGGAGGAGCAGGGGGCGGGGAAAAGACGCAGGAAAGAGGAAATCGGCGGCGCGACGCCCGCTGCCTATTGGCTATCGCGTCCCGAAGCCAGGAGCCCCGCCTCCTCCGCGGGGTCACGTGATTCCTTTCAAAGATGGCCGCCCTGTTGTTTTGATGAATAATACTTGGTGGGGCGAGGGGGTAAGAGTAGGGGTGGAGGGGTAGGAGGACTTACGCTTCCAGCGATAGCTTCGCCAGTCCCACCCTCCCCTCCCCCCTCCCCGGCCTCCAACGTGGAGGAGGGGCGTGTCCGGACTGCTTTTAGAGGGGAGGGGCTCCACGGGACCGCGCCGAGCCTCCACGGGAGCGACCGGGAGGTCGTCTTACCTCAGGGCATCCTCTCGGCGGCCGGGCTGTTCCCGCCGGGGGCCGAGGGTTGGAGGGAAGCGGGCTCTGCCTGGACACCCGCCGCTGCCGCGCCTCCGCCAGGGCGACCCAGCACGTTGGGGGCCGGAGACGAGTGAGGGACCGCGCTGCCGGGTCGGGGTAGCCCGGGAAGCGGTGGGCTCTAAGTGGCGGCGCCGTGAGGTAACCCCGTGGCGGCGGCGGCGGCGGCGGCCCGAGGGGGCTGCCCGGGGCCAGAGCAGCCGTAGGAGTCTCTGGGGCGCTTGGAGCGACAGAAGCAAAGGCAATCCAGTGCCTCGTGTTCTTCTTCTTTTTTTTTAACCTCTGACTATGCAATTCTGAAACCTCCCCCATACGGGGGACCAGACAGCTTGATAGACAGACACCTTCCACTCTCCTTGCTCCCGCCCTGGTCTCGAGAACCGAAGGATCTCTCTCCCCAACGCCTTTCACCATTAAGAGGAAAGCGATGGAGGAGCTCAGCGCTGACGAGGTGAGCCGGGGGAGGGACACCTTGAGGGGGTTAGTTGACAACTCTTTGGCGCTTTAACCGGGGAAGGTATTGCACCAGTGGTGCTGGGCTTTGGGTTTGAAGAAGGAATGGAGGTGACATTTTCTCCCCCCCCCCAAGAATAAAATGACTCCCGCAGAGGGTCTCTGGTTATATTCTCTTTTATTCCCTTGCCTTCTCTCTGCATTCCGAACTCCACTTGGTTGTCGAGCGTTCTTAGGGTCTGAGGTGTTCTTTCTTAAGGGATTCAAGTCATAGAGATTGGATTTAGATTATAGATTAAGAGTGCGTATCTGTGTGTCTGTCTGTGTGTGTGTCTGTCTGTCTTTGGGAATTTGGAGATTTGGGGAAGAATCAGAATGTTTGAAACCCCAAATATGTAGGGCCATTTCATTGTGTAAGTTAATTAAACAACATACCTTTGTCTTTGGGAGGTGGCTTTACAGACATATTCTTCGATATTTGACAAAGTGTTGTCTTTTCTCAGTAGTTTAGAGGATTCCAGGGAAATGGTAGTGATTTTAAGAGACAATGACATCTGGTATTCCTTTCTTTCTTTATGCCTTTTCCTATTTTTCCCTCCTTTTGAAAAACTTACCTTTTTTTTTTTTTGCTGTAGCAGAGATTGAACAGGGAGCAAATGGAAGAAAATAACTTTATAAACTCTCTTGTTTTCATTTTTGAAAGGAGCCATGCAAATCTTGAGGTTGTAAGAATTTTTATTTATTTTTAATAAGATTGTCCTAAAAGCAGTGGCAAGTAGAGTACAAGGAATTTCCTGTGATTCTACTGACTTTTCCCTGCCTTCTTACAAACTGGGAGACTCTTGCTAGCTGGCCCCATTCACCCTACCTCCTCATTTTTTCCTTTGGTTGGTTTAAACTTCCTCTGCAGCATTATGAAAGTACTCATCCATCAGGTTGTGTTGTACTGTAAGACTACCAGTGCTCTATTTTTCGCTAGAGTCTTGTGTGCTTACTCAGTCACTAAAATTCTCCAGGGATTGGGCATGCAAGTGGTGGGTAAAGGGTCAGGAGAGAAAGCTAACATAATTTTGTCGATTGTGGTACTTGGTTTCTGGAAAGTCAGGATTGCTCATTTTATTTTACTGACTTGATTCTCTTCAAATATGTAATCTTAAATTAGGAAAATACTGAATAGTTTCTTTCAGGAGATATTAAGAGATTTCCTAGGAGCACTTTGTTTTATGTAGTTTTTAAAAGCACTCCCCTCATCTCTTTTATTTCATTCGAAATTAAAAGGCAGAGTCTGTTTTTCCGTTGTCCTTTACTCCCAGAAATTACTTTTTTCTTGATTTTTAAATCGTCTGGTTCTTACTTAACCAAGTTTTCACCAAGAAATTGTTTTCAGACCAATAATATATACAGACTGAGATACTGTATAATCTGAAACATGTCCATCCAGTCTTTCAGGACGGTACTACTTTGTTGTGTGACCTTACATGGCACATATAACCTTTGTGGAAGAAATAAAGGAACTTTTCCCCCTATTAGCAGAGTACTAAAAATGAATGTGAGAAATTAAATTCACTAATGTAAGTATAAAGTCATTTTTAACAAATTGGTTGGTCTGAGTACAAAAGGACAGTACAATGACTGGTCATTTTCTTCTAATTAGACTCTAGAACAAATTGTGTTTTTTGAAAAAAAAAATCTTGTTTGTGTGTGTGTGTGTGTGTGTGAGTGTGTGTGTGTGTGTGTGTGTGTGCGCGTGCTTTTGCACGTGTGAGTTTTATTTAAGTCCCATTTCTTTAACTCAGGGTTTAGCTTCCAAAGCTTTTGTCTTTGTGTTATTACTCTGTTGATGAAAATTTGTGTCATAGATGTGGTAGGTGATAATGATTTGGTTTAAAAAAATACATTTCTTTTGTGAAAGTTCAAGCAAACATTTCAGGATTAAAACAGGGATGACACTGATCTCACTCTTAAGTTGGGAAATGAGGTAAGAAAGACAGTTTCTTTTTTTTGGGTCCGGTCGTGGGGCCTGAACTCTGGGCCTGGGCGCAGTCCCTCAGCTCTTCAGCTCAAGGCTAGCGCTCTACCACTTGAGCCATAGCACCACTTCCAGCTTTTTTTGTTTATGTGGTGCTGAGGAATCGAACCCAGGGCCTCAGGCATGCAAGGCAAGCGCTCTACCACTGAGCCACCATCCCAGCCGGACAGTTTCATATTTTAACAAAATGAAAATATTTGCAAATACAGCCTATGAAAAATAAAGACTGGTCTAACCAGACTAGTTGCTTTAGAAGATTTTACATGTAGGCATTTTTTGATAGCTGTCATACAGCATCTTGAATTTTTTTACTTTATTCTCTTGTGCTTTGAAATAGAATTTTTGACCCTCATTGCCATTTGTTATTTATGTAGTATGTTACTGTAAGTTCTTTGTTCCATCCAGAAGATCTGTGACTAAGTTCAGGCTCTTTAGGAACCTACATTCCAGGGCATCATCATTTACATTATCTTCATTCTGTAGCTTACTCACATGTTGTTGTTATCTATCAAGATGATGCTCTAACTAGGGCAAGCATTTTAAACTGTTTTCCAACAGTGGTGGTGAGATTGTGTTGAAATATTTTTCTCTCTTTTTTTTTTTTCTCTTCTTTTAAATCTTTATGACCTACTTCTTCTGCAGGATGACTGGCTAGGATTCAGGGTGTGGTCAAGGTTTTAGAAGAATGTACAGTATTCCTTCCCAAATGCAGAATATGTGACCTTGAATTTTTTTCTTTCCTGTTTTTCTTTCTTTTTTCTTGCTGATTAGCCCAGGCTGCCTTCAAACATGACATACTCCCCCCATCCCAAGTCTATAGATTTAGAGTGTTTTGTAAGTGGAAAACTATTGACCTTTATAGCCTTAGGAACCTTTATTTTGCCAGGCACCTGTACAGCCTATCTCATTTAGTAGGACAGTGCAGTCAAGCAAGTCTATATCGCTTATTTTACAGGTAAGAAACTGAGATTTAGATTAAGTGGTGACCTGATTTAAAAGTGACAGGGTTAGAATTCAGACCAAGGGCTCTTGATTGTAGGTCCCTTTTCACAATTTAACAACTGCTGTAAATTTATCATAGGTCTATATAAGTATCCATGGTGGTACATGACCGTCATGGTACTTGGGAGGCAGAGATGGGAGGATTCTGAGAGCTCAAGGTAAAGTTAGACAGATCCTGAGGTCTAGAAACAAAATGCAAAGCTAAAGGGCTGGGGGGTGGGGCACATACATCTCTTTGGAGAAGTCTGAACAAGCATGATCCACTCTGCTTGATATGCGTAGTTTTCTCCTAAAGTGATGTTTTGTTTTGTTTTATTTTTTTGTCAGTCCTCTGGTGGCTGGGCCTGGGCACTGTCCCTTAGCTCTTCAGCTCAAGGCTAGTGCTCTACCACTTAGAACCAGTGTCACTTTTAATTTTGTGAGTGGTTTATTGGAGATAAGAGTCTCTCAGGGCTGGGAAGGTGGCTCAGTGGCTCAGTGGTAGAGCGCTTGCCTTGCATGCCTGAAGCCCTGGGTTCAATTCCTCAGCACCACATAAGCAAAAAGAAAAAAGCTGGAAGTGCTGGAAGTGGTGCTGTGGCTCAAGTGGTAGAGTGCTAGCCTTGAGCTGAAGAGCTGAGGGACAGCACCCAGGCCCAGAGTTCAGGCCCCACGACCAGACCCCCCCCCCCCAAAAAAAAAAAAAAAAAAGAGTCTCACAGACTTTCCCGGCCCAGACTGGCTTTGAACCTCGGTCCTCAGATCTCAGCCCCCTGAGTAGCTAGGATTACAGGCGTGAGCCACCATGCCTGGCCCCAAAGTGATGTTTTAAGCTAAAGCATTCATGATGTGCTCACCTCTTGTTGGAAATGACTCTCTGTGTCTGCCTGTTTGTCTGTCTTTCTGTCTTTCTCTCACACAAATGCACTACTGGCCTCAAATAGCTCACTCCATAGCATTTCAGGAAATTATAATTTAATTGGGGTTTAATGTAATTTTAGATAGTAATCTAAAGTGACAATTTGTGCCAAGTGCTGTTGTGAAGGTATGCACAGGACACGAAGAATAAGGTGCCCCTGCTGGGGCAGTGACTTAGTGAAGGCTGGAGGAAAAGTAATCTGTGATGGTGTCTCAGGAACAGCACCAGTGGTAGGGTAGGAGCTTGGGAGTTTTGCCTGCAAGAATGGAGGCACCAGATCTTGAGGGCTGTTAGAAAGCTTAGGAGTTTGAACTTTCTTTGTATGTCTGGAAGAAGCCTCTCTAAGATAGGAATGGCTTAGGAAGATGACTAGAAGGATGTAGACAGTGGATTACAGGAAGGTGGCTGTGGACTGGAAGACCCATTGGCAGTCTGTGACTAAGCAGGAGGTAGCCAGTGGAGTCCCACCAACTGTGGCCATGACTGTGGGAATGGAAGTAAGAGACAGACACAAGATTATTGAGGACTCCAAATAATTCTGTTCTCTGATGATCTGATGTGAAAGAGAAAAGGTGACTTCTCAGTTTCTAGCTTGGAACAAGGATGGATTGAAATTGATTCAAAATTCTAGACATTGGGCAGGTGTTTTGCTCTGGATCATTGAAAAAATGAACCAGCCTGAAGAACCCTATTCTGGCCTTTTTTTGGGGGGGAGGAGGGTGTGGGGCTTAAACTCTGGACCTGGGCTCTGTCATTGAGCTCTTCAGCTCAAGGCTAGCACTCTACTACATGAACCACAGCTCCACTTCTGGTTTTGTGAGTGGTTTAATGGAGATAAGAGTCTCACAGACTTTCCTGCCTGGGCTGGCTTCGAACTGTGATCCTCATATTTCAGCCTCCTGAGTAGCTAGGATTACAGGCGTGAGCCACCTGAGCTGGGCTCTATTCTGGCCTTTCTGTTCTGCCATCTTCATCTCTTTAACCTTTTCTGTCCTTGTGATAGGCTTAGGCCTTTCCCTAGCATAGTAGATACTCCCTACTCCCCACTTGACAATTGGAAATAATCTTG